ATTGAGCGAGCTAGGGGGATATTTGAACGATTTGTGCAGTGCCACCCAAAAGTTGGTGCTTGGATACGATATGCCAAGTTTGAGATGAAGAATGGAGAGGTAGCAAAAGCAAGAAATGTTTATGAGAGGGCAGTGGAGAAGCTGGCTGATGATGAGGAAGCAGAGCAGCTTTTTGTTGCATTTGCTGAGTTTGAGGAAAGATGTAAAGAAACAGAGCGTGCAAGGTGTATCCATAAATTTTCCCTTGATCTTATTCCTAAGGGAAGGGCTGAAGATTTGTACAAGAAGTTTGTGGCCTTTGAAAAGCAGTATGGGGACAGGGAAGGGATTGAGGATGCCATTGTTGGGAAGAGAAGGTTTCAGTATGAGAATGAAGTGAGAAAAAATCCCTTGAACTATGATTGCTGGTTTGACTACATAAGATTGGAAGAAAGTGTGGGGAATAAAGAAAGAATAAGGGAAGTATATGAGAGAGCTATTGCCAATATTCCTCCAGCTGAGGAGAAGCGGTACTGACAACGTTATATCTATTTGTGGTAAGTTAGATTTGAATGCCCTTTTTCTGATGTGTTTTGTATTGTTTTACTTTTCTCCCTAGTAATTGTTATTTATCTATTTGTAACTTAGGATTAATTATGCGCTTTACAAAGAGCTTGATGCTGGAGATATGGAGCAAACAAGAGATGTATACAGGTATGTTTTAGTATTAGGTGTGGGAATTAATATAAACGCTGGATTTTAGCCGTACCTTACAACATGAGTAGTTGTAACGTAACCTGAAAGGGCATATGCTGAACACTGGCGAGATTGACTCATAGACATATGGTTCATGTTAGTTCCATGAAATGAATGAATTCTTAGATTCATCTGTGAATTAAAGTGGGAATCTGATGAGTTATCGGGCTGCCAAAAGTATATTAGCGATTTTAGAATTACCTGATTGTTCTTTTCCCTGACCGATTAATTTATTGTATTTGCTTTCAAATTTATCCTATTGATGCTATTGATATTTCATATGGATTCATTTTGTTTATAGGGAGTGTATCAAGCTCATTCCTCATCATAAATTCTCATTTGCAAAGATTTGGCTTCTAGCAGCACAATTTGAAATACATCAGCTGAATCTCACAGCTGCTTGTAAAATATTGGGAAATGCTATTGGAATAGCTCCAAAAGATAGGTAATATTTAAATGAATGCAAATGTAATCATATGTTTTTAATTATAACTTGTCGTTTGTCATCTTTTCAAACCGCTCTGCTGGCTTGACAACAGATTTTTAAGAAGTATATAGAGATAGAACTGCAGCTTGGCAATATTGATCGGTGTAGGAAATTGCATGAGAAGTATCTGGAGTGGTCACCAGAAAACTGCTATGCCTGGAGCAAGTATGCAGAATTAGAAGATCCTTATGCGAGACTGATAGGGCAGAGCAATCTTTGAGCTGGCAATTGCCCAACCAGCATTGGATATGCCTGAGCTATTATGGAAGGTATACTTTGATATTTTTCCTGAGTCAATGTCAGGTCTCACTTGCATTTAATCATCATATCAGATCTAGGTTGATAATTTTTCTCGTCTGCTTCATTTCTCTTTCCAATATCTTCTTCCTTCCTTTCTCTGTCTCAGTATTTTTTTTAGTGGCCATTCGTATAAGTAGATATTTTTTCATGCAAAACAGGCTTACATTGACTTGAGATTGCTGAGGGTGAATTGAGAGGACCAGAGCACTTTATGAAAGACTCCTTGATCGAACAAAGCATTGAAGGTATAGGTAAGCTGCGCAAAGTTCGAGGCATCAGCTATGGATGAGGATGGCCAGATTCATGACATGGCAGATGATGACGTCCAATCTTATAAACGTGAGCAAAAGAAGCAATGCATTCAGCATGCTAGAAGTATGTGGATCCAACTCACCCTCGTGATGTTGTCTTTGAACTTTTTTATTTTCTGAGGCGGAGCCAACATATTTTAAGAAGTATTTCTAATCTCTCGTTATGCATCTGCTTTAGGAGAATTTGAGAAAGCTCTCACCTCCTTCAGATCATCAGCCCCAGAAATGAAAGAAGAGAGGGCGATGCTATTGGAAGAGTGGCTCAATATGGAAGTTTCTTTTGGTGAGCTAGGTGAGGTTAGTTTAGTCCAGTCTAAATTGCCCAAGAAGCTCAAGAAGAGAAGGCCAATAGCAACTGAGGATGGTCCTGCAGGGTACGTATCTAATCCCTTTGTTTATCTGTAAGAGATTAGCATCCATGCCAGCAGCATATATTAAGCCATATTGTGTTAGATGTCTATGAGTTTTAACTGTTGCAACAAGCACTTTGTGAGGGCGTTTGATTCATTATTATCTGGCTAAGTTAGATTAAGTTTGATGCGTTGAGCACGCATCATACTGATGGGACTCGTTGAAAAATGTGAAGCTCCTGATCTTTAAGTGTGTCAGGGTCTGTTGGGAATCGCCATCGTAGCCACTAATAAGCATGTTCAATGTAAACTAAGACAAAACTCTTCTTACATATTTATTTCGTATTTAGTAAATCACGATTGAAAATCTGCTTATCCATTCCAAATAGGTCCTTAATATTTGTGGTGGGTTATGTCACAGTGATTAGTGGTATCACGATAGATGACAAAGATTAGCTGCAGTCTGCATGTTACCAAGTCTACTATATTTTTTTTCCCCCTGATTTCGGTGAAAAAGTCCACTAATTGTAAAGTACTGGTGGTATTTTAAAGTTTGTTTTATTCAGTTATTCAGGCTTTGATTTGTTTTTTCAATTCATTCTGTTGATCAAAATTTTATTTGCCAGGTTCGAAGAATACATTGACTACATTTTCCCGGATGAGGCCCAGACTACGAATCTCAAGATATTGGAAGCTGCCTACAAATGGAAGAAGCAGAGATTGTCTGCGGTTTAGAGCGGCTCTGCATCAATTCTTAAAGCTTTGTTAATATTATAAAAATGATCAAAGTATTTGACTCAAGAAATAATGAGCAAAGGATGCAAGTATTTTTGGATAAGGTATACTAAAAAAGATCATCCAGTATTAATATTAATTTTTATAGAAAATCATCAATCATTATTTTATATGTTATTAAAAAAAGTCTTGGTATTAGGAAGTGTTTAACTTTCATTTCTTAAATTATGTGGATTACAAATTCCCTACATCTAGACGCCAAACTATGGAAAAGAGTTAATATTATCTAGTTAGTGAATTAAACCTTGAGTCAATTTTAAGTTTGATGCTAAACGTTAAATGATTTAAACGAAAAAAAAAAAAGAAGAAAAGAATTGAGAGCAACATTGTTTATTTGCAAATTAGCTAACGCAGTTAATGTCTTGTTACTAAATAGAAAATGCACTTTAACAGTTATGTAATTTTTATCCAATTGGAATGTATAGATTGTTTTTAGAGATGAACAACAAATTATTTTAAGATATTGGCTGCATCTTAAAAATATTTGAGGATGTTGGATCACAAAATATTTTAGATTGCAGAATGCATCCAACAAGATATTTCAGGGTGATGAATGTATCCTAACTCCATTTGAACGATAAAATATAGATATTGAATTAGAAAAAAATAGTTAAAAATGTCAATTAGAAAAGTATGTGCAAATGCACTTGAAAACACAAGTTCTTGAGCTAGCGTAACTATTATTCAAAAAATATATATTTAATTATATGTAAATGTCTTTCATTTTGCAAATAATTTTTCTGTCCATAATTTTATATGTAGTTAAAAATAAGTTACACATAATTGATAAAGAGTTGCATATGGTCATTCACTGAAAACAGTTTGTACCCAGACCTTCAAACAAATGCTAAGTACCTTTGTACGATTAATTTTTTAATAAAGGGCTTTTGATCAATTTTACGATAAAAAATGAGGTTCTATTGGAAAATATGGAAGCATGATAAGAGAATTTGAAACTTTTTGAGTGATTCGTCAATTACATTTTAAAATAGACACGATACTCTATCGGTCAAAAAATAGACACAATTCTCTGAGAATAATGTATTTATTTTTATCAAATGTCACGAAAAGAACTCAAATGAATCAAGTGCCAATTAAGTAAATTTATGCCCTTAACATTCACCTCTAATTTTGGTCACCTTCCGTTCTTCCAACCAAATTAGGACAATATCGTTGTTTATTTTATTAGCTTCATGCCTAAGCTTAGTAAAAAGATTAAATAAGTACAAATTGAACTGTAAGCTTCCATTTTCGCCCATATATTATGGATTACTTTTTTGATCAATCCAATATTACGGATTAAGGTTTCTATTCATAAATGAATTTTATACTGATAATATTGTATGCATCAAATTCACATAACAACAAAAATTTTTGAAAAACTGGGGAGGTATTTTTGCAAGTGGGTCCAACACTTGATGGAAACCAAAAACTATTCCATAAACTATAAAAACATATATTGTTGATGCAGGCAGGAAAAAAACAAATATTATTGATATTTATTAAATATTTAATATGTTGTAATAAATATCTAAAAAGTTAGTTTAGATTTCATTCTCCGAACCACAGTCCAGATGTCAAATCACATAGAACTTTTTATTTAATTTATAAAAGATATCTTGAGATAGTAACTGGATAGTTCTTGTTGGCCAAAAAAAAAAAATAACTGGACAGTTCTTAAAAATTAAGAATTGGTTATTTTCAAGACATGCTGATATATATTTTAAAAAAAAAAAACTTAGAGAATAAGTCACTGTTAGGCACAAAATGTGGATACCTTTCCTAACAGAAAATTGAAAAGTGCACGGACACGGATGAAGGATAGAAGAAAACGGCAAGAAAGCATGACTATTCTCAGCAGAAAATTAAGGAAGTGTTTGAATATCTACTGAAGTGCTTTTTAAAAGCATTTTTTTTTCAAATCGAAACAAATTCCTTTACATGCTAAAATCACTATTAAAACTATGATTTGGTTTCCATCTAAATACCCTTTTAATCTTCTTCCACCAATCAAATTAAAAATTAAACATTCTTTCGTGCCTTATCAGACATCTGAATGTATATGGACTTCAAAACTGAATAAACTCTTTCAATCAGGGGATAAGATTTATCCCCAGAAATAAATGAGTGCATGTGACCTCCAGCTTCAATCCAACTGCATCCCAAACTCTTCTTCAATCCCTTTGAATTGCCCATTTCCCTAATCTCTAATGTTTCACTCCATTCACCCATAAAAGCGTATGAATTGGCAAGAAGCACATAATTTGAGGAATTCCAAGGTCCTGCTGTGTGAAGATCTCCAGAAATGCGCTTCGCCATTGTTAAATTCCCATGCAGCTTGCAGGCTCCCAGTAGCGTGCTCCACATTACAGCATCAGCTTTGAAAGGCATTTGCAGAAGAAGAGCCTCGGCTTCCTCAAGCAGCCCTGATCTTCCAAGCAAGTCAACCATACATGTATAATGCTCGATTTTGGGTTTGATCATATACTTATGAATCATGTCATTGAAGTAGCGACAGCCCTCTTGTACCAGACCCCTGTGACTACATGCACTAAGCACACCCACAAAAGTCACATCGTTTGGAGAAATAACAGAAGGTCCTAATTGCACCATCATGTTATAAAGTTTCATGGCTTTCATTGCTTCTCCATTTTGAGCAAACCCGCCTATAATTCCATTCCATACAATTATATCTCTCTGAGGCATGCTTTGAAACATCATGAATGCATGTTGCATTTCACCGCATTTAGAATACATATCTGAAATTGCACTCCCCACCACCAAATTGTTTTCAAATCCATACTTTATAGCAACACCATGGAGTTGTCTTCCTCTTTGCAAGGTGTTTCTTGCAGCGCAGGCACCAAGCATGCCGCCAAAGGTGAAGGAATTCGGTTCCACGTCAGCCAACTGCATTTCATAAAGGAGCCACATGGCTTCATCCACATGTCCACTCTGTGACAGACCAGTAACAATTGTTGTCCATGCAAAAACATCCTTATCTTGAATCTCCTCAAACAATACCAATGCATTGTCAATTAAGCCACACTTTGCATACAACTCTAACAAGGAATTAGTGATGAATGGATCAGAGCAAAAGCTGAGTTTAATTGCACATGAGTGGACCTGCACTGCTTCCATCAGTCGCAAGTGAGATGCCATGTCATTTAAAATTATTGCATGAGTATGCTCATCAGCCAAAATTCCTTCTCTATACATTTGCTTATATAAACTTAAGCAGAAATCACCCAACCCACATCTAGAGTAGCAAGACATCAAGGCATTCCAAGTAACCAAGTCTCTCATGGGCATTTCACCGAACACCTTCCTTGCATCCTCGATAGCCCCACAGTTTGCATACATCTGCAAGAGATTAGTCCCCAAATAAGAATCGGAAGTTGAGCAAGCCTTAACAATCTCAGCATGCACTTGATGCCCAGAACTCAAATCGCAAAAGGGTAGTACTATAGAATACGTGTACCCATCGGGCTTAACAGGACTTTGTCTCATCTTCACGAAATGCTCCATGGCATCTTCAATTCTCTGGTTTTTCACGTACCCAGAAATGAGTATGTTCCATGAATGAGAATCCTTCGTGGGTGTGGCAGTGAAAGCTTCCAAGGCTTCCGGAACCAAACCAGAGCTGAAGTAGCCTGAGAGAAGAGTGTTGTGTGAAACGACATTGGGGTTGGGCATGAAACGCAGAAGTTTCTGGGCACTACATAAGGCGTGGGATTTGATGTAAGCTTGAAGGAGGAGATTGCACTGATAAACATTGTCCTCGAGACCCTTCTTGACGATGGATGCATGAAGCGTTTGAGCTTTGTACATGTGAGAGGTTACGACCAGGTGAGGGCCGAGGGAAGATCGCGGGGGCTGTCTAGTATTTACGTACCGTGTACTAACTCGCAGAACTGAGCTGTTTCCTTCCCAAAAAAAAACCAGAACTGCACTAATTCTTAGAGTAATAAATATGGAGATTTTACTCACCAAAAAAAAGAAGAGAGATTTACACAAAATATAAATATATAAAAATAAATAATAGGATTAAGGTGCATTTATCATTCTAAAGTTTTTTTTTTTGAGTGCACTCAACGCCCTAAAGTACTCATAAATATTTTTTCAGATGCATCTAGCATATTAAGTTAAGTATTATTTTCAGGTTTGTTCAGTATTTTAAAATATTTTTTGGTGTATCCAACACTCAAGCATAAAAAATATTTCAGGATGTTGAAGGCACTTAAAAAATACTTCAGAGTGCTGGATGTATCATAAAATACTCATTTGGTCCTATTTATAAGTCACTTCCAACATGTTTCACACAGACTAAGGAAAATCTTAAGCTTCATTAACTGTCATTTAAAATTCAACAACTTTTTAATTTTAACCTTATTTAATGTACATTATACCTTATGTCGACAAAGTCAATATAATAATAAATAGAATATTAGAATGTAAAATTGTATATCCATATAAAAAAATTTTTCTCGGTCCCTATAAATAGGAACAAAAAATATCTTCTCTTTTTGCCTTTTAAATAAAAAAAGGAATACTTTAAAATATTGGATGCATCTGAAAAATACTTCAAACTGAATGTACCTTGACGCTGAATAATATTACATATGGATATAGATGCCTGATAGGCATGACATAATTCTCGTTGAAATTTTTGTATCAATAAAATTTTAATTTTTTATACATATTATAAGAATTAAGAACATAATCTACTTTAAAAATTTTCACCAAAAAATAATCTACTTTAAAATTAAAAGTGTAATTAGAATTCAGTATAGTAAATATTTTTCAGTGTTCTTACCAATTTGATTTGTAAATATGCAAATTCAACTTATAAATATAAAAGTCCGAATTGTACTCATAAATTATCAAATTTGATATTTAAATATGCAATTTTTATATGTAAATATATAGGTTTTTGACTTATAAATATAAAATTTTTGGAATCTCTCTATATTTATTTATTTATTTATTTTTTACTTGGAGTCATGGTTGACTTTTTCCCTTTTTTAATTATAAGAGAGCTAATGAGCTTTCGACTGAGAGGGGGAAAATCAATTCTGATATCAACATATCATCAAACTAGATAAATACAAATCACAGTTTAAGAAATGAACAGAGCTAGTAGATCTAAGAGGCAAAGAAATAGTTCCATTAATCCCAACAAATGTATTGTACAAACTCCTTTAGTATACCAAAACCAAAAACCAGTTAGGAAAAATGAACACCAAGCACCAGTATACTTTCAACTTTCTTCTATCTTCTCTCTTCTTCTTCTTCCTCCTCTTCCTCCTCCTTCTGTTGCATTTAAAACGTATTGGGCTGCTTTGCTTGTACAAGCATTTCAACCACTTCTCTCATGGTGGGTCTCTCCACACTGTGTTCTTGAACACAAAGCATCGCCACAAAGAACACTTGTTTTGCTTCATCTATGGGGATACTATTGTGCAGCCTCTCATCAAGGATCCTCACCACCTTGTCTTTGTTCCAGTTTGTTTGCATCTTTGTCCACTGCACAATATCTATTCCTTCTTCTCCGAAGTCGCCCACCGGCCGTCTACCAGTCAAGAGTTCTAGCAGTACCACCCCGAAGCTATAAACATCACTCTTCTCGTCAATTTTTAATGTGTATGCATACTCTGTTCCCGAACATAACATAATTGAAATCAGCACAGTGAAAAAGTAATTTGATCATGATAGCAAATAACTAACTTGGCCCTACTTTATAAAAGTAATCACAAAAACATAATGAACATTACAAATCAAAGAAGGCTCCTTTCCTCACTTGATACAAATGGGGTTATTGGAAAAACACGTTATAAGGAGAATAAAAGAGGGATAGTTCATTTTATATAAAAAGATAAATAGATCAAGTCTTGGTATGCTTTGTCTGATTGAGAAAGATTGACACAGTAAAACTTCTGCATGGTAGAAAAGGGGACAAAGATTCAGTTCCATGTTTCCAAGGTAACAAATCAAACTTACTCCACTAACATATTCGTGTTTCTTTTTCTAGGGGTTTGAGAAAGTGAATCTTAGGGGGAAATATGAAGCCAAGCCATTGACACTAAGGGTGAGGAAATATATGCTTTTGGGTTAACGTGCGCTTTGGTGACTGCCAAGTTGGTCAAAAGAAGATGACTGTGCTGTGATTTGGTTTCTGAACTTATGGAATATAAAATAAAATCTGGGTTTATGGTTTCAAGGCATGCAAGCAAAAAGCTCATACAACCACTTAACATGAAAGGAAAAAAAAAAGCAAAAGAAGAATTTTCCTTTGTGTTAGTGGAGCCTTTACCCCCATTCTAGGAATCTACGTACATGCCACATTCTGTGGTCCCATAATGAAAAGACAGAGTATATGCCATTGAGATCATATATATATATATATATATATATATATATATTTCAATTCAAAGACTCGCGTCTCACTCGGTTTAAGATGCAACGAGTATATGAATGTTAAATATAGGGATCAATCAGTGATAGAAAATAATATTTTCTCAACTTTTCTTTCTGGGACAATAATGCTTCAGAACTCAGTGGATGGCAAGTTAGATTGAAAGAACAGAAGCTAGAGACCTACTTGAGAGCGCATTGCTTTTCAAGTTATTTAGATTACTGAAGTAAATTTGGAGATGAGTCAATCATCCTACTTGATGCGTGTTAGGCTTCTCTTTCTCCCCTCATTCCACTTAGTGATCTAATCATTGTTTAAAATAACTATGTCCTCTGAACTTGGAGGAAACGACCAATTAGATTGTAAGAAACAGAAGCTAGAACAGAACTTACTTGAAATTGATTTGGATTATTGAAAGAAGTGCATACCTGGAGCAATATAGCCATAAGAGCCAGCAATGGAAGACATGCATTCTGAAGCCCCAGTGTCTTGTAAGAACTTGGCAAGTCCAAAGTCAGCTACATGAGCCTCGAACTCAGAATTTAATAATATGTTATTGGACTTCACATCTCTATGTATTATCAATGGTGAACAATCATGGTGCAGGTAACAAAGCCCTTTTGCTGCTTCAATGGCTATCTTAAGCCTCGTTTCCCATTTCAAAAACTCGCCTCTCTTCCCATGAAGCACTTCACCCAAACTCCCATTTGGCATGTACTCATACACAAGCAAATTTGTCTCTCTGTTTGAGACAAAAGCTAGTAATCTCACTATGTACCTGTGCCTTATCCTGCCCAATGTTCTTATTTCTGCAGATAAGCCATTGTCATGATGAGAAGAGCCTTTGCTGAATCCTAAGAGTTTTTTCACTGCTAGCTCCTCTCCATTTGGCATGGTGCCTCTGTACACAATTCCAGCTCCTCCTTGTCCTATCACATTGCTCTCCTTTATGCATCCCAATATATCTTGACTGCCATACTCTAGCTTCTGAAATGCTGTGAGCTTCCATGAATTTGAATTCCTCCTTGCCTTCTTTCTGCTTTTAATGATAGCTAAGGTCGCAAAAATCAAAGAACATCCCAGCAGTGCAAGTGCAAAAAGAAGCTTGTACTTCCCAGGAACTCCAGATTTTGTATTGTTAGTCTCACGGGAGTCTGAAAATGGGTTTGATGAATGAGTGCCACATGGGTTTAGATCATATCCACATAGATTTGGGTTTCCCTGAAAGAAGGATGAATTCAAGACTGTGAACAGACCAACGTCAGGAATTGAACCGGAGAAGTTGTTGTGAGAGAAATCTGCTGAAGTTAGCCCTTTCATGGTCCCTAGTTCTTTTGGGAGGCTCTGGTTAAGGTTGTTCCTTGAGACATTAAGATAGTTTAAGATGCGAATTTGGGAAATTTGAACAGGGATAGGACCTGAAAGTTGGTTCTGGCTCAAGTCCAAGTATGTGAGCGAGGCACAGTTCCCTATCTCTGAAGGAATACTGCCTGATATGTTGTTTCTGCTCATATCCAACTTTAACAGACTCTTCAACCTCCCCATATCTGGTGGGATTTCCGCAGAGAATCTGTTTTCACTGAGGAGAAGATTCTGCAAATTTGGGAAATTCCCAATTGATTCTGGGAGAGACCCGGACAGACGATTGTTTGATAGATTCAACTGCTCTAGTTTTGATGTTGAATTTGCTGAATCTTTGGGAAGAACACCAGTGAGGTAGTTGTTTTGCAGCTCAAGAAGTAAAAGTCCAGGCAGATAAAGAAACCCGTTTGGTATTTTCCCTGTTAAATAGTTCTGACCCAAGCGAACTCTTTGGAGTGTATAGCATTCTCCAAGGTCATCAGGCAAAGATCCAAAGAGAAAATTATTGAGCAAGATTAAGATCTTGAGCTTCTTCCCAAGGCAGAGAGATTTTGGGACTAACCCAGTAAGCTTATTTGATGAAAGATCAAGCTCAATTAATTTCCCATTCTGGCCAAGCCCAGGAGGGATTGAACCTGTGAAGTTGTTTTTCCACAGATGCAAAGTTTCAAGCTTTGGGAGGTCAGAGATGAACTTAGGAATCTCACCATGCAATTTGTTGATGAACAAGTTGATAAGTGTGAGCTCACGGAGGTTTGAGAGTTCAAATGGGATTTCTCCTATTAGCTCATTGTTGGAAAGATCAAGAGATCTCAGATTGCTCAAATTGCCTATCTGAGGTGGGATTGAACCAGTAAGCTGATTGGTTTGCAAGAAAAGCGTGTCTAATTTTGAAAGCTTGCCTAATTCTGAAGGAATTGTAGCATTCAAGCTACAATTTGCAAGGTCAAGATGAACCAAATTGATTAGATTCCCAAACTCACTTGGGATTCCACCGTCAAACTTGTTGAAATATCCCAAGTACAAATGAGTCAAATTAGTGAGATTCCCAAGCTCACGGGGTATAGACCCACTTAGATCATTCCCAGCAAGAGAAAGAAAATTCAAGCCCACCATTTTCCCATACTCTTCTGGGATTCTCCCGGAAAAGTAATTCCCGCCAAAATTTAAGTGCCTGAGCTTGGGAAGATTGGTGACACCAAGAGGTAGTTCGCCGTTAAAGTCGTTGTCATAGGCATCAAGGACCTCAAGCCCACTCATGTCGGAGAACTCCCAAGTCAGATTTCCAGTGAACATGTTGTTGGATATGTTGAGGAACCGCAGCCAAGGCAGCCGGAGAATCTCCGAAGGAAGCTCGCCGGAAAAGCTATTATCTGCAACCGAGATAGACACAAGTCCCTGGAGCTTCGCGATGACAGGGGAAAGAAACCCAGAAAAGTTGTAATTGGATATCTCCAAGGACACCACAGACCTGTTGCTACGGTCACATTTGATGCCATCCCAAGAACAAAGGGACACGTAGTTGGATACATCCCAGGATTCAAGAGTAGAATTTTGAGGTTGAAAACCTTGTCTGAGAGAGACCAAGATTGAAGCTTGCCTTTTGAGAGACAAGGCAGGAAGTGATGATGAAACAGAAGGAGGAGAAGAAGAAGAAGAGGCAGTGAGGCAGAGGAGGAGAAGAAGGGAGTGAAAGAACAGAGAAGCCAAAGAAGAAGAAGAAGAAGCCATTGTTGGGATATTCTAGTTCTAGGAGAGGAAGCTAACAGATATACTATATTGAGATGCAGTGAATATACAGAGAGAGTGAGTGAGGAAGGAAGGAAGGAACTTGTTCTTGTAAAGAAGTGAAGAGATCAAAGGTAGGAGCAGCAGGCAGTATAGCATCCAATGACCTTTTGCTTTTTTCTTTTTTCAGACACTCCTCTGTCTTCCTGGCTCCTCCCTCTTCATTTATTTCATCAATCCCTAAACCTTTTGTTACACTGCAATCTTTCAAAGTAACTTCAAACATCATAGTAGCATATAATATAGAATGTGGGAAGAGCGAGGAATGTGTCCTCTTATATGGCTCTTATTAAATTTGGACTAATCAGATTTTGTTATCCATCTTATAACCATTTTTAAAGTGCCCCTTGAGAAACAAGATGATTTAAACCTTCCATGATAGATTGGACAACCCACTACTCATTTTGATATATGTGTTGACAAAGTAGATGTACACAATATTTTTAGGATTTCGACATCTGATCTCTAGTTCACATGACAGGAACCTTGCTATTATTCCCAGACTCACTCTCTAAACAATGTAAGAAAGAAGCAAAATACTACACATCTTTATATGTATGCAGATGAAGCAGGTGTCAAGATTTAAACATCTAACCTCCAATTTATATGACAAGAATCTTACTACTACTTCTGATCCTTAATATAAAACCTTGTTTGACTTTTATTTTGAAAATATAAGATCCTAATCCATTTTGTCTCTTATATTTATGCATTTTTTTTTTCTAAGATAGTCCTTTTAACAATAATAATTCTAGCCAGTACACTTGATTAGTAAAAATATTTTAGAAAGAACAACACCTGTTTATCATATATAACTAACTTAGTTTCTTTCCTTAATCTCTTCAAATTAGTCAATTAGCTCTTATAAATAAGACTGGAGATAGTATTATTTCATTGGGAGACTTATTTCTAGATATCACCTATCTATAAAAAAAATTATTATGAAGAAAAATTTCACGTTTCATGCTGGCAGGAGTAGAATATAATCATCACTTGGAATACAATGGTGTGTGAGTGAACATCGGATAGGAAGTGAAGCTTAGATGGCAAGCGAGCAACCAACATTCAGGCAGGGAGGCACGGAGAGGCTACTATTTTGGTGTCTGGTTGAACAAAAATCAATAAATAAAAAATGTAAAAGCAAAAGCAAAGGCAAAAGCAAAAGGTGTTTGGATAAAAATGTATAACCCCCCAGACCATCCGCCAACCAATTGCTTTTCTTTTGGGATGGCTCTTTCTTGCTTCTCATAGGAATAGAAAACATCAAAATCAAATTAAATGCTCAGTTCTTGACAGAAAAGTGAAGGAAAATAGTACTCAGAGGGATGGACCTGTATTATTGAACTGCTTGCTTTAAATCCTTGCTCATCTTATCGCTCCTTCAATGCTCCGCAAGCCCCCTAACTATCAGTACTCTAGCAACTAACAAGTCATTAATTTTACCTGTACGTCAAGTTTGGCTCAATTTCATGTATTAGTAATCTTTATGTGTTATGTTGATTCTAATGATTAATTGATACAATAAAATAATCTAATACAATCTTAATTACACCAGAATCAAAATATAATGAATCAACATTTAGGGCCGGTTTTGCATCACAATTGAAACTTATAAGTATATTTGACGTAAATCGAGATAAAACTCTTCTTATATACTAATCTCATATCATGTAAATTACAATTAAAAAGCTGCTTATAAGTTATTCCAAACAAACCCTTAAACATTTGTACCCTGCATTATCATTTTTGCTTGATTTTTATTTGAGAAAATATGAATTTTATGGTATAATTCCTTGATATCATAACAAGGAAATACCTTATATTGCACGAACAAATTAGATATTCTCTTTCCATACTTTTATATCCATCATTTTTTTGTCTTGATAGTATTTTTGATTTGATTTTGTAGGTGAAATTCACTCCTCTCACGTACAAAATTAAAGGAAAAAAAAATCAAAGTAGATTATTGTACCTCCAATGTGTGCATGAGTAGTAATGGAAGCAGGGCAAGAAATGGAATGATAACTCATTGAGATGCATGTCCAAATACCTTGTAATGTTATGATTACCAATGAGTATGTGTAGGGTGAAAATACTACAAGTATTCATGGGTTTTTAATGTGGTAAAGATGTTTTTTCCCCCCCAAAAAAATGTAACTTTATACTTTCAAGGCAATAAATTTTCTTAGGCGTGACTGCCAGAAAGATTCAAAGTACAGGACATATTTCTTTAACTTGGGGACCAGTCCTTTAGGATTCAATAAATTTGTGGATTGTGAATTTAAGCTAACAAATACGTACGTCCAATTTCAATTTTGATCTCCAAATTCATAATATAGCTAGATTTATTTTTAGGCAATGAATTTTACTTTATAATTTGAATGAGAGTTATTTCCCAAAACTTGTATAACGAATAAAAAGCATGTTTGGTTCTTGTATATGAATATAAACCACAGAAATGTTTCTCTCAATAGTTTTTGAAATGAACTGCATTATTTAATAGGGAATATTGTTGGAAAATTCCCCGTTATGAATTAGCCAAAGGTATTTAAAGACCCAAGTTCTTAAGTGAGGGAAATTATTTTTGAAATGTCTGCAAGCTACTTTAAACTATGTAAGTAACGAAAAATATTTGCTATGCTACACACAATTAAAGAAGAGTTGCATTTATTGAAAATGACAGAGTGTGAGCCCAACCCGTCAACCTGTATTGTTGTGGCAGGTTTGGTCGTCATTTTGTCAACTCGCTAGAAGGCGGATGTTTTAACCACACCCACTAACTATTACTAAAAATTTTATTGTTTAAAGGCATGTGGCGCAACTCTTCTCACGTTATGTTCCTGTTCGGTACGAAATATTAAAAATAAGGGATTACGAATGGGATTGCAATTAAAAAAATTATTAAAATAGTATTTAGTATCAATAATTACTTATTATATGGGATTAGACAAATCCATAAAAATAGGATTAGAGAATACTACTTTCCTCCATAGTATTCTCCAATCCCACATATATAGGTTTAGCTAATCCCACATAACAAGCAATTTTTTATACTAAATACTCTTTTAATAGATTTTCTCAATTACAATCACAATCTCAATATCTCATTTTCAATACTTCCTACCAAACGCAACCTATATGTAGTCCATCTTTAGTTACGTGTAAATGTCTCATATTTTGCATATAACTGAAGATGGATTGTACATACCTAGAAAAGAATCACACCCACTCAAAATAGATTGTACACGGTTCTTTAAAACAAATTTCAAGCACATTTGCATACTAAATTTTGCAATAGGGGATGTTGCACCAATATTTATAATTTCATTAGAACATATTTTATTATTTATATTGACGTGGTGATTATTCAAATAAATTAAAGAATTAAACTACATTTAATTTAAAAAGTCAATCATTGTCCTCCACATCCAATGTACTTGCGAACTTAAGAAAGTCCATGGAATTCAAAGGCTGAGACTTGAGAGTGATAAAATGAAGAGGCCAGTGGTTTGGTTTGAAAAAGTCATATATACTGCTAACAGATTCGAGTCAGTGATGTATGTGTGCGCTTTTGGTAATAACATACATGGTACAAACTTATTGTTTCTGCCACGACTCAGAATAGCACTGTGGTGACCAAATCAACACTGCTCCATTATCTCACCATTATTTTTTTCAAAAAGAAATAAATTATTTTCATAACTAAATGCTTGAATTTGTATATATATTATTTCCAATCCTTAATATAAGATTTTGTTTGATTTTTATTTTCGTCTTAAATATAAGATTATAATCCATTTTATTTCTCATATTTATACTTTTTTTTCAAAATAGTCTTTCTAACAATGGTAATTCTAGCCAATACACTTGATTAGCGAAGATATTTTAAGAAAGACAACACATATTTAAGACAAATAACTAATTCAATTTACTTTTTTAATCTCCTCAAATTAGTCAACTAGCTCTTATAACTAGGACTGTATATTTGTTTATTATTAACATATGACTAATAGGCAAATCCCACGGGTTCCCCCAAAAAAAAAAGTACAGCAATAGTAATTATTTTTTTCAGGAAAAATTTATAGTCAACGTGTTTAAGTCAACATAAATTGTAGTAATTTTATTTATATCACTATCTAATTGGGTCAAATTGAAGTATTGTTAAATTTATTGGGAGTAGCATTCCTATATATATATATATATATTGCATTCACACGGAGTTGAATTTGAAATATTATACTTAAATATTCAAAACTTCTTCTATTAGGACTACGCATGTTGGTAAGTGATAGAAATTATTGTCTCTTATATTTAATCAAGTTATTGGACAGTCAATTTCTTGCATTTATGTGCTCCCTCAGCTTATTTTTAAAAGAGAATTATTTTAGGATTCTCTTGGTTTTATTTAGGAGAAAAAACAATTTTTTTATAAAAAATTTACTAAAATTTTTTTGGCAGTCTCATTGAAAATGAATATTTATTAACGATATTATTTATTAAAAGCCACCAGCCAACTTTTAAATGAGAATATTTTGAAAAAAAATTGAATTTATAATATATTTATTAATCTAATTAAATTTTTGGAAAAAAAAACTAATCTAATTAACTTTAACCATATTTTTTATTTTTGAGAATTTGTTATTTGTTTCTCATGGAAGGAAGGATAAGGCAATTATAATTGTAAAGATTAGCTTTTATTATTAGAGGAGTATATTCTCTTCAACCATAAAAAAATCTTTTTTTAATGTTGTGAATTATCATTCAATTATATCCAACACATATGATATAAAAGGAAGCAAGCATATAAAAAGTTTAGCATCATTTAAATAGATCAATGAATCAAAAAGAAAAAAGTTACCTAGCTAGTACCAAACTAATTGATCAATCAATAACAAGTAAAGGAATCAACCATATCTTTTTCCTGTTCATCAAGGAAATGGCTGAAAAAATATTTTTCTAAAGGAAAAAACTTAAAAAGAATAGAACTTTTCAGATTGCAAATTCCCATAATTTTGGGACCAGTAAAAACATTTTTTTCCAAACAAAAATTATAAATCTTGCCCTTATATCCTTCCATGAATAAAATAGCTTATGAACTGCAAATATTTTTTCATCATTCAGAATGACGACATGGTTAATTTTTATAATATTTTGAAAATAATGTAGTGATAAAAATGTATGAAAAAAATAGTGAAAAAAAGTGGAGGTACA